GGATGTGTCTAACAACCGTCTGGAAGAGATTGAGCATGCCGATCTGACGCGTTTGACCGGGCTCCTGAGACTGACATTGGCCAATAATCGTCTCATGCGTCTACCTCAAGACTTTGGCGCGTTCAAATCTCTTCGCGTACTGAACCTGTCCTCGAACTACCTCGACAAATTCCCGCTCACTCTGTGCAAACTAGAAAGTCTTGTCGATCTCGACATTAGTTTCAACTCAATTGGCTCCGTGCCTGATGAGATTGGAAATCTGAAGTGTCTAGAAAAGTTCGTCATAACGAACAATCGGCTGGCGGGTGTTTTCCCAGCATCCACGAGCCAGCTCGCCAACCTTCGGGAGCTCGATATCAAATTTAATGCCCTTACCTCGATTGATGTGATCTCTACACTGCCTAAGCTGGAAGTGTTGACTGCCGACCACAACTCCATATCGCAGTTTATCGGAAGTTTCGAACGCATCCGCAGCCTGAAACTGAATGCAAATCCGATCACCAAATTTGAAATTATGGCTCCGGTTCCGACACTGAAGACCATCAACTTATCTCACTGCCAGCTCGCGAGTATCGACGGGTCATTCAACAATATGGTGAATTTGGAGCGCCTGGAGTTAGATTCGAACTACTTTGTTTCCTTACCCAACACACTTGGCAATTTGAGGAGACTGGAGCATTTCACCATCTCTCATAATTCGGTCGGTGAGCTCCCTGGTGAGATCGGTTGCCTCGGAGAGCTGAGAATGCTGGATGTTCGAGGAAATAATCTCAAGAAACTTCCCATGGACATATGGTGGGCCAATAAGCTGGAGACGCTTAATGCCTCTTCCAACGTTCTTGAGAATTTCCCTAAGCCGGCCTCGCGTCAACCTCAGCCACCCGGGGAAGCGCCGACGACAGCTTCTAATGCCAAGCTATCAAGCGGGCTACTGTCTCAGACTTCTAGCACGGAAGATTTGTTGCCTGATGGATCTCGTCGGCCCAGCCAGGCGAGTAGTACGCTCCTCAGTGTGGGGCCGAATCCAATTAATAATGGCGCGGATCGGAAAAGCTCTGTTGTCTCCGTCTACGGCAAAGGGGGCCGTAAGACATCAGTGGTTTCGAGGAGCACAACGGCGAGCAGTATCAATGGCAGTGCTATGCCTGCGCTCGCATCAAGAAAGGACTCGGGTATTTCCAGTCGGCTCACTAACACATTTGCCGGCTCTTTGCGGAACTTGATTCTGGCAGACAACCAGATTGATGATGATGTTTTTGAGCAAATCACACTCCTTGGCGAATTGCGAACCCTCAATTTGTCATACAATGACCTCAATGACATGCCCCAGCGCTGCATCAAAAGCTGGCCTCAACTCGTTGAATTGTATTTGTCTGGCAACGATCTCACAAGCTTACCTGTCGATGATCTGGAGGAGTTCAGCCTGCTCCAGGTCCTCCATATCAATAATAACAAGTTCACGAACCTACCCGCCGACATATCTCGAGCAAAGAAGTTAGCAGTCCTCGACTGCGGGAACAACTCCTTGAAGTACAATATCTCCAATGTGCCGTATGACTGGAACTGGAATCTCAATCCAAACCTACGTTACCTCAACCTGTCAGGCAACAAACGACTGGAGATTAAACAACACACCCATGGGCCTGCTGCTCATAGCCGTGAGCAGTATACGGACTTCAGTCGCTTGCAAAACCTACGTATCCTAGGGTTAATGGATGTAACTCTCACTCAGCCCAGTATCCCGGAGCAAACCGAAGATCGCCGCGTGAGGACTTCTGGTTCACTTGCAGGTCATATCCCATATGGTATGGCAGACACAATGGGCAGGAACGAGCACCTGTCGACCATTGATCTCGTCGTTCCACGTTTCAACTCATCTGACACAGAGACACTTCTTGGTTTGTTCGACGGCCAAGCGCTTTCGAGCGGTGGCTCTAAGATTGCCAAATACCTCCAGGAGAACTTTGGGCACATCTTCACGATGGAGCTCAAAGCACTCAAGACTCGGCAGAATGAGGGACCCGCGGACGCCTTGCGACGTGCTTTTCTTGCTCTAAACAAAGACTTGGTTACTTTGGCCTTTGAGCACACGGAAAAGCGACCACACGGTCTGCATAGAGGATCTGGAGCACCCCTGGCGCTGAGTCAAGAAGACCTCAATTCGGGAGGAGTGGCAACTATTGCTTACCTCCAGGCCCAAGAGCTTTATGTCGCCAACATAGGCGATGCCCAAGCCTTGCTCATCCAGACCGATGGCTCACACAAGATTCTGACCCAGAAGCATAACCCGGCTGAACCATTAGAGCGGCAGCGAATTCGTGATGCGGGAGGTTGGGTGTCTCGCCAGGGCAAATTGAATGATTTACTGCAAGTCTCCCGTGCCTTCGGCTATGTCGGCCTCATGCCCGCCGTAACAGCGGCTCCTGATATCTGTCGAGTTTCAATCACGCCACAAGACGATATTGTCTTGATTGCAACTCGTGAACTGTGGGAAGTTCTTCAACCAGGGCTCGTAGTGGACGTCACCCGGTCCGAGCGGGGCGATCTCATGCGTGCGACACAGAGGCTCCGAGATCTTGCAATGGCATATGGATGTACGGGCAAGATAATGATCATGATGATCAGCGTCGCTGATCTCAAGCGGCGACAAGAGCGTTCGGCCCGTTTACACAGGGGCCAGAGTATGTCCCTCTACCCATCAGGCGTCCCAGATGATTTCCAATATCCAGCGAAGAGAGGCAAGAAAGTGAGAGGTGAAGTACAGGACTCAAATTTGCATCGGCTTGAAGCCGAGGTTCCCGCGCCGGTCGACAAGCCGTCAATTTGCTTTACTGACATCAAGAATTCTACCAATCTGTGGGAAATGTATCCTGACGCCATGAGAGCATCGATCAAACTCCACAACGAAGTCATGCGGCGGCAGCTCCGACGGATCGGTGGCTATGAAGTCAAGACGGAAGGCGATGCTTTCATGGTGTCATTTCCTACTGCGACATCTGCCCTATTGTGGTGCTTCTCAGTGCAACTGGCTTTGCTTGAGGTTAATTGGCCATCTGACGTGCTCAAATCGGTCACATGTCAAGAGATAGTTGACAAGGACAACAATGTAATCTTTAAAGGTCTATCCGTACGAATGGGTATCCATTACGGTGAACCAGTCGCTGAGGTCGATCCCGTGACTCGCCGTATGGACTACTTCGGGCCCATGGTCAACAAGGCATCGCGGATCAATGCAGTTGCCGATGGTGGGCAGATTGCCGTGTCTGCAGATTTCATCTCTGAAATCCAGCGATGCTTGGAGACATACCAGGATAATGAACGAAATGGCTCTACCGGTTTCGACGACACGTTCGATGATGATGTGACCGCACTAGCCATTCGAAAGGAGCTGAAGTCACTCACGTCGCAAGGATTCGAGGTCAAAGAAATGGGAGAGAGAAAACTCAAAGGACTCGAGAACCCGGAGTATGTTTATTCTCTGTACCCACACGCCCTCGCCAGCAGGATCGACTATCATATGCCTGCGGCGGCAACAAACGAGGTGTCTGTCGACCAACCCGCACGACTCGTGCCTGGCAGCTCATTTGGTGTCGAGCCGGAGATGATTTGGTCTCTGTGGAAAGTTAGTCTACGCCTGGAGATGCTCTGTAGCTCTTTGGAGGAAATGTCGGGAAGAGGCTTGCAGCCCCCTGAGACCGAACTGCTTGAACGCATTAAGCAGCGTGGCGGTGAAGTTACAGAGAGTTTCCTGTTTAACTTCATGGAACATCAAGTGAGCCGCATTGAAGTAAGCAATTGACTCTCTCAGTACCCTTACTACCATGCTACCATGATGCTAACTGATGAACCTAGACATGCGTCTCGACTCTTTCTCTACGGCATCTGGCTTTGGGTGGCGGTCCGATCAAACAGCTTGAAGATTTGCGCACGCCGATGGCGGTCATACTTGGTCAGGTAGCTAAACAGATGGCCGAGCTTGAGAGATACAAAGCCAGATTTGGCCCTCTTGAGAACTCGGATGACGAGGGAAGCGATACGGAACAGGAATGAGACGGAGCATTCCTGTGCCTTGCTACTTTTCCGCCTGGACATTCAAGTCGAGTACAAGTTGGACGACACCTTCGACCTTCATAATCCGCCCCTTTGCCCCTATGGTCAATAGCCCTACGAGCCTTATATTACAACTCACTCGCAGTAATGTGTCACGACCGAATCAATAAACGACTACCAGGGGCTTTTTTGTTTTTACTGCTTTCGGAAGGGTGTGGAAAATGGCATGTCTGGGATCATTTCCGAGACTGAGCAAAAACGTTATTTCTTGTATAGGGTTGGCTGCTCTCTGGTGCTTCCGAAGTTAGTTCTGGATACCTTGAATGCTGGACAAGGAGTTTGGTTGCTTTGATTCTATGCGCATCCATGTATTTCCGGTGTTATAAACGGTGTTATGGACGATGCAGGGGCCTCTGTCCTGGGTTTCTTCCTGATCACCCGTACCTAGACCTGTGTCTCAGCGTGGGTAGGTAGTCAATAGTGTTATAATGGGGGTAGGCTGGATTGTGGCATCATATTGGGTAGCTGGTCAAGTAAACCAGCATTGCTAAAGCTGAGAAAGCATTGATCGTTTGAGTGTCCGATGAAGTTGATAATCTTTTACTGTGAATGTAAAGTGTGATGTTACTGGGAGAGAAGGCACGTTTGCTACGAAGATTTATGGCGAGAGCGTCTTCAGGAGGATGGTGCTGTGTGTCAATACTCCTTGGAAAAGACAACACAAATGCAGGCTCGTTGCGGAAAATAGGGGTTGGCTGCAACTGCCGGTGTGCGGAACGCTCCGTTGTATGACAAAAGCTTCTACGTATCATTTACATCCTTGGGAAATGGAAAGAAAAATCTGAGACAAACCCGAGAGTTTAGAACGGACTAAGAGGGAGGGAAAGAAAGGGGCAAAGTAGAGAGAAGGGGCGAAAAGGAGAAAAAAAAAAAAAAAAAAAAAAAAAGGTTGCGCTGTGCGGGATTTGCACCCGCGTCGCTTCCTTTCACCCTTTTGGGAGGGAAGTAAGTTAACTACTACTCCAACAGCGCCAGGTTGCCCAAGTTGGCTTATTTTTGGATGATGGCAGCTCACTTATTGTTCGTTAAGTACTCGCTAGGCCCGTGGTTTCGCCGACGGACGTGTGTCTGTCTGCCCATGCTATGGACATGGAAGTGGAAGGAACGACGCGTCGCGCGTTGGGTGTCTCCTGCCGCCACTTACTTGACGTGTCGCATCTTACCTTCGCTGTGTCATGAGGGAGGCAGGTAGTTGCTGCCGTTTGATCTTTGTGTCACTACCTTGCGTCAATTTGAGACATGAGCTGGCGTTGGTGATGGATGTCGTCTTCGGCTGCTTGCTTGCGAGGTCGGTCTATCCAATAATGATAGATAATTCTCGGCTGACTCCGCGCAGGTAAGATTCATGCGAGGGCGTACCTTACGGCCGGCTAGGTGCAGCATCGTCATGTTCAATTGTTGTGGTAACTCAGGTTGCCTCAGCGCGATGGGTTTCGCCGTGTCAACCGGGTTGGAGAATTTGAAGCTTCCACTTAGTATCCCAATACATGGCTTCCACCCGTCCATAAAAGAGACGGCACATTGGATTTGACTGAACTGATTAGTACGCTTGCATGTATCAACATGAATTCATCCAATTGGATTGTGCAAAGCAATGGGGGTATGTATTTCGCTTCCTACGGTAGCGCCATTCACAATGAAACAACATTCCTCCGCACCCGCAAATTCTACCTGACTGGTGATGGGTAGATCCAGCACACCCGTTGCCATAGATTCGCTCTTCTATATTCATGCCACGTCACAAACCCGTAAATCATACAGCCAATACCAAGACAAACTCGTATGCGTGCTTTCCGTACAGACAACCAAGTTGGTACCTCGATGTTACGCCAAAAAGCATTTCCAAGGGTATAATGATGCAGTCCCCAACCCCCAAATTGCAACACGCCCAAATCACTGATCTTTCGGAAACCATCCCTAGAACGACATGAGATTGGGCCGAATAAAACTTTGCACGATCACGGCGCAAACAACAGCGAAGCCTATGCTCCTGTGAGCTTCTTCCACCAGCTGCTCCGAGGTGTCGCGTCCATGAAAACAGACTCTCGCTGGGCTTTCTCCCCGCTGCCGTCCGAGCCACCGTGCCGACGCTCGCGACGTTCGCGCTCGTCACGACGAGCACGCCTCCGCCGCTGGTCGTTTTCCATCTCTTCGTCCATGTCACCGTATTTTTCCCGACGGCGGGCTGCCCTTCGAGCAGCGCGTCGCGCCTCTTCGTCGTCAGTGGCTGGCGGGGCACTAGTGACATGCTCATCATCGGGAGGAGGTCCCGCATCCGACGTTTCCTTTACCCACGAGCTGGTACCGGAGTGAGGCCAAGCTTGCCGTTTCTTCTTCTTGCTACGTTCATCATCCGTATGTCTCGAGGACCTTTCGCGGGGGGAGAAGTAATCCTCCATCGGCATCGGCATAGACCGTCGATTGCTTTCCTTCTCGGCTCGTCTGGCTTCCCGCCTGCGCCGACGTTCCTCGTCGTTTTCGGAGGCGTCTACCTGTCGGGAGGCTCGTCGCTCTGCACGAGCAGCTCGGCGAGCTTCTGCGTCGGCATCCGCACCGGCTGCTTCTTTTTCAAGCCTACGGAGACGACGACGTTCCGCCCTCTCGGCTTCCTTGGCATCCACCTCTTCGGTCGCGAGGCGTTGCGCTTCAAGCTCACGGGCGGCTCGGCGTTCTGCCCTTCTGGCCTCCCGTGTCTCTTGCCGACGAGCTTCATCGTCCTCTTCTTGGCGTCTGCGCCTGTCACGACGAGCTTCGTCTTTGGCACGACGTGAATCATCACCACGTTCCTGCTCCTTCCTGGCTCGTCGCGCTGCACGGCGAGCTTCGCGATCCGTCTCTGTTTCCGCCTCCATATTACTGGTTCCTCGAGCGCGTCTTGCCCTTTTATCTGGTCTTGCCTCATCATCAGTTGTGAGGTAAGTGTTTCGGCGGCGGGGTTCCGGACGGATGTCGGGACGGGGAGCTGAAGACATCAAACCACCGAATAAACCCGATATGCCTTTCTTAGAACCTGACTTGGAGCGCCTCGGGGGTGTCACATCAATAGGACCGCCCTCTTCGACCATGACGATGTCATCGTCTACTTTAGGCTGCTTCGATCTTCTTCGGGCTGATTCGCTAGGGCCTGGTGTAAAATCCCCAGCTCCCACCATGACAATGTCCTCGTCATCGGCAACAGGTTGGGCTTTTGAACGGCGCCTACTCCGGCCCTTATCAACTCCGAGCAGTCGAGCCGCCTTGGAAGACATCTCCGGCATTTCCTCGGGCGGGGGCGACACGAGACCGCCACTCATAGTCATATCAACTGATTGTCGGCGCGAACTAGGCTTGCTAGAGCCACGTTTGTCGCGTGTTGACATGGAGCGCGAAATGGGCGGCGTGCTTTGAAAGAGACTGTTCATACGCGACTTCGGAAGCGGCGTAGCCTTCATCTCGTGTTGGTCTGCTTTATCCGATGCCGACCCCTTCGAGGAGATTTTCTCTTCTCTCTCCCTTCTGGATCTCTTTTCTTCAGGCCTGGACTTGGACGACTTTTTCTCCTCCTTGTGTGGAGTTGCTGAAGTCGACCATTTACCCCAGGAGGCACCACCTTCACGACTGATCTTGGCTCGCTCTTTTCGCGAGGAAGACCTGACATCTGGCGGGGGGGTCGGTGGCGCATCAGGGACCATTGGGGGAGCGTCAGGAACGGCAGGCGGCGGTGGAGGAACAGGTGGAGGGACGGGAGGAAGATCCTCGTCTTTGGATTTGCTCTTCTTGCTCTTCTTTGATTTTTTCTCGACGGGTGGTGGTGGTGGTGCCAGGTCGACGATTTCGATTATCTCGTCTGGGTCATCGAAATCGTCCAGGTTGTCTTCGAGAAAGTCGTCGTCCATGGGAAAGCTGCCCGGAAGAAGTCCCTTGTCCCGCTTGGACCTGGCCGTGTCGTCTGATAGCACGTCGGGTGGTGGCGGGGGGGCAGGTGCTTCAGGTAGCACATCGATTAGGTCGCCATCGAGGTCATCCTGGACTGGCGCCTCGAACTTCTTTAGTCTCTCAGCGAGCTTACTGCTCTTGGACTTCTTCTTGGGCATCCCATCGTCCGTAATGGCCCTGGAGGCAGACGGCGCATCCTCAGCGACAATGGCATCTTCCAGAACCTGGACTGAGTCAGCGCCACTAATCTCGGTTGCTGCCGAGCGGAGGTGAGAGATGCTTACCGGTTCGGGGAACGACTCTTTGGAGCTGGGCTTGGCACCCCAGAACGAGAAAGCGTCGTTGGCTTTGGGTTTCTTTGGAGGCGGTAAGCCCGACAGGATCTCATCCGCCTGTTCAGCTGTCAAGTCCACATGGTCGAGATCCAGATCGTCGCCGTCGGGAGCAACAGGGACAGGGACAGGGACAGGGACATCTTTCTTGTCTTTGCTGCTGGATTTAGATTTCTTCTCTTCGCTTTTGGAACTCTTCTTGGGTTTCTTCTTGGAAGTTGGGGCTGCTTCTGCCTCGGCTTCTGCTGCTGCGTCCACCGCCTCTGCATCTCGACGCTCTCGCTCGGCCTGCTCTTCAACTTCGCGCGCTGTTTGCGCTGCTGCTTCCTCGGCCTCTCGTGCAGCTTGTTCTTCAGCCTCCCTAGCGGCTTTGGAACTCTTCTTTGATTTCTTCTTGGACGACGCCGCCGCCACCGCTTCGGCTTCTGCTTCTTCCGCCTCCTTCCGCTCACGCTCAGCTTGTTCTTCGGCTTCTCGAAGCGCTTCTGCGGCTGCTTGTGCAGCAGCTTCTTCCGCTTCTCGCGCTGCTGCTTCTTCCGCTTCACGTGCGGCCTTGGAACCTTTCTTTGACTTTTTCTTCGAGGTTGCTGCGCCTGCGGCTGCCTCTTCAGCTTCTTGTTGCTCACGCTCGGCTTGTTCCTCTGCCGCTCTTGCCTGTTCCTCGGCTTCCCGTGCCGCTTGTTCTTCGGCTTCGCGCGCTGCTTGCTCGTCCGCCTCGGCTGCAGCCTGGGCATCACCGTTGTCCGGCTCTGTAGCCCCGGCCCGGGCTTCAGCTTTTGCGACAAGCTCGTCCAGCCTCATTTGGTCGTTTCTTGTCCACTTTTTCTTCTTCTTTTCGAATTTTGTCTTCAGCAATTCAATCTCTGAGGTCTCGGCGGCAATCTCTACTTCCAGCGCGGCAGCAGCCTCTGCGGCGACGGCGGCAGCTGCGGCTTCTTCTGCTTCGCGCACAGCTTGTTCTTCGGCTTCTGCTGCAGCCTGTGCAGCGGCGATCTCTGCCTCTGCGCTAGCAGCACGAGCGTCTGCCCTTGCGATTAACTCGTCTAACCTCGCCTGGTCCATTTTAGTCCATTTCTTCTTCTTCTTCTCGAACTTGGTCTTCAAAGTTGCTATCTCGGCCTCTTCGTTCGCAATTTCGGCCTCGAGTGCTGCCGCCGCTTCGGCAGTGTTGTCTTCCGCCTCGGTTGTTGCGTCAGCAGCTTCAGCAGCGGCAGTTTCTTCGGTCTCCGCGGACTCAGCTGTTGCTACATCATGGGCACCCAGTCCCTCAATGAGATCTTCACCGACGGGCTCCGCTGCTGGTGCTGGTGCTGGTGCTGCGCGGGCTTCGACCTTGGCTAAAAGTTCGTCGAGTCTTGTTTGATCCTTACTGGTCCATTTTTTTTTCTTCGCCGACTTAGCCCTCAAAGACTCGATCTCCATGTCTTCTGCGGCGATTTCGGCTTGAAGGACTGCTGCTGCCTCCGCGGCCTTCTCCTCTGCTTCGGCGGCAGCAGCGGTAGCGTCGGCTTCAGCAGTGTCTTGGGAGTCTAATCCGCCAATCAGATCTTCATCACCAGGATGCACTGTGTCGGCGGTTGTTGTTGCTGCTGCCCGTGCTTCGGCTTTAGCTAGGAGTTCCTCCAGTCGAGCTTGGTCAATTTTCGTGAACTTCTTCTTTTTTGTCGACTTGACTTTTAGAGCCTCGATCTCCGCCTCTTCGGCAGCGATTTCAGCTTCAATAGT